TTTCTTACTTTATAGTAAAAGGCTATTATTATTAAATTATATATAGCTTATAAAGAAAAGTATAAATTTAAAGCTAAACGTACTAAAATACCTTAAAGAAAAGCTAATAATAAATATAGTACTAATTACTTTAAAGAAAATCTCTTTTCTTAAGAATATTTATATAAAATACTACTATAAGTACTAACTTAATAACTTAGAAACTTAGGTTATTAGTATAATTAGGGTTTTTAATAGTAAGATTATTATTAAATTAACTATAAAATAATTAACTATAATCTTTATATATAGTATTTAAGTAAGAAAGGAAAATTTAAAAAAGTTAATATTTATAAAAGAAATATATATTCTATATATTAAAAGTTAAAGTTAAAGTAAACTAAAGTTAAAGGCTTTAATTAGTATATTAATTAAATAAGATTATATAACCTTATAATTATACTTATAGTAATGTAACCTAATAATATTATTAATAATATTATTAAGGGCTTTTATAAGTATAATACTAATATATATTACTAAGAGTAATATAGCTATAAAATAGGTTAATAGTATAAAGTAATAAGTAAAGGTTTATTAACTTACTATATATAATATTAAGTATAGTTATAGAAAAAGAAAAAAAAAGTTAAGCTATTATACCTTATATAATAGCCTTTTATATATATAACTATATTAGTAATAGTTAAAGTTTAGTTAATATAAGTAACTTTAAAAAAAATAAGCTTATACTTTAACTTACCTTAAAGAGGTTAACCTTAAGTTATAAAAGAATTAGCTTGTAAACTAACTATTAATAAAAAAATTTAAATATTTAATAAAACTAGCTTTAAGATTATAATTTAAGAAAATAATAAAAGTAATGAAGCTAACTTTATAAACTTAGAAATAAATAGCTAGTTTAAAAAGCTAAAGAAATAATTAAATATAATAATTAATTACTTTAAGTTAACTAAGTATATTAAAAGCTTTAAATAAACTAAGCTAATTATAGCTTAAGATTATAAGTAATATATTTAATAAGTAAGTATTTTAATAAAGTAAGTACTTTAAAAATCCCTTAACCTTATATCTAACTATTTAATTAATTAGTTTCTAACTACTTAATATATTATAACCTTTAAATAAGGCTAAAATCTTTCTTACCCTTTAAGCTATTTAAAATAACCTAAAACTAAGCTTATAATATACTATAAATATTTATAAAGTTAACTACTTTACTTTATATTACTACTAAATTAGTATTTAATTATAATATAATTTAATACTAAATTAATAAAAGCTATTTAATTAAAAAAAGAATATAATAATTTACTTTATTTTTAACTTAGATTTATAAGAATTTCCTTTATAATTATACTTTATAAAAGAATTAGCTAATTTCCTTTTTATTAATTATATTATATTACTTATTAGTATATATTAAGCTTATAACTTTATTAAGTAATAACTAAAGCTAAAGATATATTTATTTTAAAAATATAACTATTAACAAGTTAAGTATAAAGATCTTATAATTATTTATAGTTAGTTTTAGCTTATAAAGAATATAATTTTAAAATATAGTATTTAATTAAATAATATCTAGAACTTTAATAAGATTAGCTTTATAATAAGTATTATATAGTTTAAAATAGTTATTATAAATATAAAAAGGTAAAAAAAGCTAGAATTAGTATAACTAAGAAACTATAAATAAATTACTATAATTTAAGTAATTAATATTAAACCTTAATTAATTTTACTATTTATTATTAGTATAAGCTAATATTACCTTATAAATTAATACTAAGAATATAATTTCTTTAGTAATTAAGTTATTATATTAAGTTAAAATAAATAAATAAATAACTAGCTAGGTTTTAATTAGCTAAAGTATTTTAATAAGTTTATAGCTAAGTAATTTATTAGTTTTTATTACCTTTTAATTTTTAATAGTTATAAAAGTTATTACTTTATTAAATTTAAAAGAAATTATAAAAATAATAAGATTATTACCTTTTATATACTTACTTATATATCTTATTTACTTTAGCTTCTTAATATTAAGTATTTTATAGTATTAAAGAAGATATATAAGTAAAAGATAAAGTATTTAATTAAATACTTTATAATTTTTATTTTTAAAACTAAGTTTTTTAATACCTTTTATATTACTTTTAAAGCTACTTTTACTAAAAGTAATATATAAAAAGGCTTAAAAAAAGCTAAGCTTAATATATATAATAAGTAAGTATTACAATTAAGTAAGTATTATACTTTTCTATATATCCTTTATTATCTATATAATAAGATTTCTATAATTTATTTAATTAATTAAAATTACTTACTATACTTTTCTCTAGATATCTCTAGAACTACCTTATAGGTTCTTATATTATACCTAGTCTTACTATATATACTATAGTATTAAATACCTAATCTAATTAACTTCCTTTACTTACTACTTCTTAATAATTTAGCTACTACCTATATATTAATATCTATCTAATTAATTACTTATAATACTTCTTCTATAGTTATTACCTTTCTCTTTTATAATTTAGTCTTTTTCTATCTATAGTACTAGCTTAGTATTTTATTTACCTATTAAAGTTCTTTATTTTTTACTACTAGTAAGGTAACCTTATATATTACTACTTTAGCTTCCTTAGAAAGATAGTATAAAGCCTTAATAATTAACTTTAGTAAGCTACTATAATACTATTTAATTTACTTAGTAAGGTATTTAAACTAAGATTAGGTTTTTATTACTATTCTTAGGGTTTTTAAAGTTTAAGGAAAGGAAGGGTTAGCTACTTCCTTAAGAGGTATTAAAGTCTATAGTTATATATTAAGCTTTAGTATAATAGTTTCTAGGTTAAAAGGATAAAGTTTAGCTTCTTTAAAAGCCCTCTAGATATTACTCTCTATAAAGGTAACTTAAAAAGTAGTATAAAAAGTAAGAAAGAACTTAGTCTTTAAAATATAAGTTATAAAGTATTTAATTAAATACTTTATTTCTTAACTATATATATTCTTTAGTACTAAAAAACACTTAATATTAAGAGGTTAAAGTAAGTAGAATATATAAGTAAGTATATAAAGTATAATAATCTTATAATCTTAATAATATTTCTTAAAGTTAACTAAGTAGTAACTTTTATAACTATTAAAAACTAGAAAGTAATAGAAACTAACTAATCTCTTTACTATTAATTAATTAAAGTGCTTTAGCTACTTAAGACCTAGCTTATTATTTATTTATTTATTTTAGCTTATTATAATAACCTAATTACTAGGGAGGTTATATTCTTAGTACTAATTTACAAAGTAATATTAGCTTAAACTAATAATAAATAGTAGAATTAATTAACCTTTTATATTAATTACTAGAATTATAGTAATCTATTTATAGTTTCTAAGCTAAACTAATTTTAATTTTCCTTACTTTTTTATACCTATAATAGCTATTCTAAACTATATAAGGCTTATTATAAAGCTAATCTTATTAAAGTTCTAGATATTACCTAGTTAAATACTATACTTTATAATTATATTCTATATAAGCTTAAACTAGCTAGAAATAATAGTTAGATCTTTATATTTAGCTTTTTAATAGTTATATCTATAAAAGATATATATCTTTAGTTCTAGTTATTATTTTATAAAGTTATAAGCCTAGTACTTACTAATAGGTAATATATTATAATTAATAAGTAAAGAATTAGCTATTTCTTCTATAAAATATAATTATAAGGGAAATCCTTATAAATCTAAGTTAAGGATAAATTAAACTATTATTTACTCTTTTAAATTAAATAATCTCTATAGATTTAAAGTAGAATTACTTTACAATTAAATACTATTATAATAGTAATATAATCTATATTTAGAGATATTATATATTTTTATAGTATATTAGGTACTTAATTTTAAATTATTTTAAAGTACTTAAAGTATAAGAAGGGTTTTAGCCTTAATTAAAGATTATAATATAATTTGTAGTTAAAAACTAATTAATTAAGTATAGGTAATAATATAGGAGGGAAAAGTATAATACTTACTTAACTGTAATGCTTGCTTATTATATATATTACTTTCTTTAACCTTAATTATATTATCTTAAAGCTTAATATATAACTATAGACTTTATTACCTTTTAAGGAAGTAATTAAACCTTTTACTTTTTAAACTTTAAAAACCTTAGTAATAATAAAGAAATTTTACAACTATAAAGAAAGTATTATAAGTAGTTAATTAAATAAATATTAATATATAAATAGTAAATAAGTTATTAAGAAGTAGTAATTAAGAAAGATTAATTAAACTAGGTATTTAGTAATATAGTATATATAGTAAAACTAGGTATAATATAAGGACTTATTAGGTAATTCTAAAGGTATTAAGAAAAAAGTATAATAAGTAATTTTAATTAATTAAATATATTATATTACTTTTATTAATAATTAAAAGATAATAGCTAGGATTATTAAAGTATTTACTTTACTAAAGTACTTACTTATTTAATATATTATATAATAATATTAATATATAATATTTTAAGTAAAAGATTTAAATAAATAAGGTTTTTTTAAATAAAAAAGATTTATATTTTATTTATTACAGTTAATAAAGTTTAATTACCTAAAGTTAAAAAAACCTTAGCTAATAGCTTTAATTAATCTAAGTTATATAATTAAAATTATATACTTTGTTTTTAATTTTAATTACTATTATAATATAACTTAGTAGTATAATAGTAATTATTTATTACTTTATTTTAAACTTTTTAAGCTTTAATATAATATTTTTATTAAACTTATTTAGCCTTTTAAGCTATTATACTAATATAATATAACTAATATTTTAAAAATTATTAGTTTTAGTAAGTAAAAGTAATAAAATTATAATACTAACTAGTATAAAGCTATCTTATACTTTTTTCTTATTTTATACTTTTATAACTAACTAAGCTTACTTAGTTAGCTTTCCTTCCCAGCTAGCCAACAAGTACTTATCTACTTGTGACCTGAACGTCCGCGGTGCTCAGGCACCCTTACAGTTTGTGCTGATGCTAGATCAATACCCTCCCTCATAAGCTTCTGTCTTGTACTATTGGGATGCTTCTGTCCCATGAATCCATCGACTAATGCTGCACCAAGAGCAGCAGTAGCCACCTTCGCGCCTTTCGGTCCTAGCCAAGGGCCAGATTCCTTTCCGGACTTCATTGCTGCCTGGGCGCCGGCAGTAAATGCAGTACGTGCGCCAGCCTGAACCATAGGGTTTTGCCACCATGCAGCTTTATTCTTAGTAGAAGCTGGCATAGAGCTTCGGCGTCCAGAGGGAGCGTCCCGGCCTTTCTGGGTAACCGGCGGGCGACCACGAATTGGAGACTGCGCGGAGTTTCTTCCACGCCGGTCTCTTCCTTGGGAACGCGGCCTGCGTCGACCACCAGCGGCTGCAGCACCTGCCGCTCCAGCTCCTGCTGCAGCCACACCTGTTGCGTAACGATCGTTCTCGGAGTCTGATTCAGAATCTGAGTATCGCGACCTTCTGCCTCGTCCATGTGACCGTGATCGTGCAGCTGGCGGAACCGACCTTCCGTGGCGACGTGGTGGAGAATCCGAGTCTGGTGCCCAATTGCGCGACCGACGACTATCTCGAGGCCCATCTGGATCACCGCGTCGGGGCTGTCCTCGAACATAGGGATCACGATCATAAGGATACGATGATGGACCATCGTTATCATACCGATAATCTCTTTCTGGGCGCCCTCCTCGTTTGCTGCGACTCGGGAATTCGCGCCCTCTTCCTGGTTTTGGCTCTCTTGAAGACTGCCGATACTCGCGCTCAGGGCGGCTAGACTCATGGTCAGGCCGAGCGGACCGGGCTTTGCGGCGAGGTGAATCTGGTGGAGGACCGAATGGGGGAGGACTAAGGTTTCGTGATGTTCGATCTGGTCCGGCACTACGACCACGACGTTCTGACTCGTATCTATGAGTCCTATGACGGGTATCGGGTCCACGATCATCTGTCATAGACTCATCTCGTCGGTCTGGTCTTCCTGGGCTTCGTGGGCGGCGGCCTCTTTCAGACTTATAACGGCGGGGTGGTGATCCAGACGTCGCATCGGTCGCAGGTTCCCTTCGAACCCTGCGGGGTGGTGCTGCATCTCTCTCGTCATAAGGGTTATAAGGTCTCCCTGGCTCGGGAGCTCCAAAGTCGTCATCGTAACGGTATGGACGAGATTGTTGCCTAGGCTGATGATAGTAGGCCATGGGTGTAGCAACTGTGGGGATTGGGAAAAGATGGAACTGTGAGGATATGAAGGAAACCCCAGGCACTGGTATCGCCAAGCTATTTGAGGGTTTGTAGTTGTTGTCTAGAATAGAAAAGAAGTGTATAAACCAGATTGGGTAAAGAGCCAGCAGCGATCAGTCACATAAGTAGATGGGTATGCAAATGAATCAATGGTGGGGGAACGAATTAACAAGAGAAAGCGGTGGGAATAAATCCTTCTTTATGCAAAAAGGTGTCTGCATGAAAAAGACAGGACGTAATGCGACAGGTGATAGGCGGTAAAGAAACAGACCATAGAGTTAGGTACTGTAGTTGGTAGGTTATTATTGCCGGCAGGGGACGTGACCTCCCTAGTAGGTAGGCATGAGAAGGAAGGACGGGATGGATGTCACAGCATCCGATGCAGAGGAAGCCCCCGGATATGACACTAATGGTTGGGTGCATTACTGAGCGAGACCGCCCAGGTGGCGGCCCTCGTCATTCATCAAGCACAAAATATATAATATCCTGCATATATCATTAGACCATAGAGTTACAGTACAGTTCAGTTCACCAAATCACCAAACCAAGGCCAGAAGAATGGCGTAGAGCTGCATTTCCGGAGGGAAATACCAGCCATCCAGCCGTCAGCTTGACTAGTTTCGTGGGGAACCCGACGTGGAACTTGTCTAGACCCTGCATACTCGACGTCATAAGACCCAAATGGCTCAGCTGATTGACGTCACAACCTCAATTCTGATTGATTCTTAACCCGAAAAATGGTGGCCAACTGTTTAAGGGTAGAAAGGGAATCTCTTACTTTATTGAAACGTGTGCTATGCTGTGTGGTTTTAGCCAGGATGGAATCATAAACATGGATGATAGAAAGATTCCCACCGGCCTGCATTTATTGTAAGCCTAGATAGGTAGACAGTGGTCTCTGGACTGTCAATCCGGTCGTGGTAGTCCGACGATGAGGGGGAACACCATAGTTGGAATGAATTTCGCATATACCATTCATTATATGGCGCTTTCCCGCACAAGCTACCTACCTAGGTATGGGCTACACAAATCTACTAGGCATTCTGGCATGGCTTGCCAGGTTTGAAAGGCAGCTTCCTCTCACTGTCACAGCAATGAGCAATGAGCAATGAGTCAACAAGAAGAGATATATACCCCCTTGGACTTGTATGTTCTACAGCACAGCTCCGATGAATTGACACCAAAATGCTAAAATGATCGCAGTTTGATGGACCGGGATTGCTTGTCGTGTCGGAGCTTTTTGTCTCAGCCGATCCTATTTAAACTCACGTCGACACGCAGAGACAAGGGTTCATCCATGCCATCACATTGCATGATTCAACCTGGGGTAACAGTGGCCTGTGGACGACATGCATCCTCCTTCCAAGCTGTGGTGCAGTGTCGTTCCTTATACGCCTTGTCTTACTTGTCGGCAACTGACCATCAAGCCTCGGGAGGACAAAGCTGGAACTCACACGTACCGCACACAGACCAAAAGGAAAAAGGAGCAAGACAATGGCGGTGAGTACTGCTGGTTGATGCAATTGTCACTTTGGTGACTAACATCAGCATCAAGAACAAAGCTCTGGAGTTCAGAGGTCTCTAAAAGGCCTGCCGACTAAGACTAAAGACCGGCATTCCTTCCCTTAGTACCTTAGGTAATTACTGGTAATCAAGTGCTTGTTTTGGTCTGGGAATCCGGAAAGACGGTTAATACCAAGTGCCGGGAGGCCGGCAGTGAGTAAGTGAAACTGGGCCATCAGTCCCATCCCATGGTGCCTCGGGCTGAGTAGTTCATGTTGTACAACGAGAAGGGCGGCTCTGAAAGAGCTACCTTTGGGACGCAAAGGTTTGCGCACACGTTTTGTACTCTGTACTCTGTTTTCGGTTTGAGCCTGCGGGGTGCTTCGTCCATTCTTGTTCCTTTTGTCTTGAGTAACCGTCGAGCGAGGTGCTATAGGCAACATTTGTTGGCTGTGACTCGTGACGATAATGCTTGTGTGCTGGGCTATGGTTACACAAAGCAAGGGCGGGACTTGGCTATTCGGCGACAGAAGTGAAGCACAATGACACTGAGTGGAATAAGTCCGAGATGCAGTGGTTGGAACATTGAAAGGGCCCTTGGATGAACCCGCTTCAGTCAATCAGTAGTAGCTACAGCTACACAGTGATTTGTAACCATCAAACTTGAGTAAAAGCATCGGGATATTCCGGCCACTGAAAGTACCAGATAATTTCCTTCACTAAAAACTGTTAGCAGCCGAAACTCGATCTTGTGCGATAAAAGATAAAGTCCGGAGGATGGGCCCTTTTGTGGGCCTTAGCTTATCGCAACCGATAATCTAGGTACTAATCTGTTAGATAGTGGAGCTCAAGATATGAGCACAGTGTCAGCGCACGCAACGGTACTTGATCAGACTCGGGCCTACAGAGGTGGGGTGAGCTTCAGCCACAATCTTAAACACCCGGCAAGCCTGGCCCCGTTAATGAAGACGATGAGGGTCAGTAGCTAGTAGGTACCTATCTGCAACGGTCTAGCGTTAATTGATAAATGGTCAACATGTACTTGAGAAACCACCAATCAATCCCACTGACGTTGCTCCAACAGGCACTTGGCTATCTCTAGGTCTCAGTCTCAATAATCGAGGGAAAGGTGAACCATCCATCGCAGACCGCCGCTGTCCTATCCGTCGATCAAACTTGTGTCCAGCGATGATCTTGCACTGCACCCTGTCTCAGCTGTGGTTTGTGCCACCTTGTGCAACCGACCAACGAAGCAGATAAGCACAAGATCGATCGATACAACAGTACTTGGTTTGATATAGGATCCTCCACCTGAGACTTGTATCTGCTACGAGCTGAGTCTTCCTCGCTCGAGTCACTCCCTCCCTAGCTACACAAGAACAAGACCCCTTGGCGGACAGTGTCAAGTCCATCACGAAGAGCCGGTCATGATCAGAATTGGAGAGTTGGTCAAGTCTGAGATGCCACGCGATGAAAAGCCACCAGAGCCAGTATTGGATTGTTCGTACCGTCTGGGCCGTTTCAATTGAATGGTTAGGATACAGTCGAAAAGCCAAGAGCATATTCGAGGCCTGTAACTGGACCACCGTCTCGTGCGTGGCGTTGTACCCGCGCCGCTATCGCTGTCGACTCCACGTTACCCGCGCGATGGCTTGCAGACTGGCGCGGTTCCTGGGCCCGAGGGGCGATAACGTTTTGGGCAAGCGCAGAAGGAGAAGGGTTCAGTTCACTCAAGCTCCCAATATCAACGGAGCAAATTTTTTATTGGGACGAAAGGAAATATGGGGATTAACAAGACAAAAGAATCCTGTGCTGTATCCGTACGATCGACTTCAACCTCGGTATTTCCGGCCAATTCGTACCTGCCTCTTGATTTTAGCGGAGTCCAGTATCTTTGGGTCGGGCTTGGCTTGGTTTAGTTTTGTTTGATCCTGGGGCAGGAGCTGCCCATTATTAGCGACTATCACGAATTCGCCTTCCGCAATTTTGGTCCTCTCTTTTTTTCTTCTTCTTTTTTTTCTCTCTCCTTCCTCTTTTCTCTCTCTTCCTCTGCCTCTTGCGCAACATCGAGAATCTCGCCTGCAAGCCTTTTGTGCTGGGATCATAGACATTTTGTCGTGATTTTAGCTCCTCGCTGTATCTTCTTTCCCTCGTCTATCCAGGGTCTTGTCTCCGCCACACCAAGAAAAAAAATCTCGACAATTTTGACGGGCTAGACTACGGATACTCTACTCTATACACGCGAAACATCTCTCAATTGCCTAGTTCACTACCTACCCCGAGCTCTTCCAACCTTGCTAGGGCTTACTACTGCATCCAAGTTCCTCTTGAGGCGCTATTTGGACCTCCTCGCAGGACCCTTGATATCGGAACGCTACCTTATTCTCTTCCCCAATACGGTACGCTCGCCCGTCGTCGCATTGCGCCGTCTTCCTATCAGCAGACTGCAATCGGGACCGTTACTTTCCGCCGCCTTGCCTTGTCCCAAAACGACACCTGCATTCTGCGAGTATACCACTTGCGCATTGCATTACTAGGATCCCTTACACCACGTACGTACGAGGTTATACCTTACTTTTTTACAAGCACTCTCTTTGTACTTCCCTCGGCAAGTCTCTAGTTCAATTACCCTCGCCCTTGCACACCAATGTACAACCTTCTTTGTACCCTGGGGATTTGATTTGAACTCATCCGTGTGTTCAGGAACACCCCCAGCTCTCAACTTCCCCAGTCTCTTATCTCGTTCATTTATAAGTCAGCAGCTCTGACCCCCATTGATTATCCCACATTCCTGCCTCTGGTCGTCACTAGTTCAAGCCTTTTACTCCATTCATCTTTATCGGGGGCACACAGTTGGCCAGCTATCTATTCAAGCTGAAGCAAAAGGAACTAACTGTAAAAGACTAGTTGTTTCGCCCAGAACATTGGCCTCGTTACTAGTCTAAAAGGGCTGTCGCTCCCCGTCCTTCAGCTTCTTTTTGGACTTTTTTCCCTCTTGTCTGCTGGTCTATTTTGTCCCTTGAATTTTGGGACATTGCTCGAGTCTTGTACATCTTTTCGTCACACTTTGCTGCCGACTTGACTTTCAAGATGGGTTGGATGGAGAACGCAAACCACAAGATCGCGGCCAGCGCTGTTGGTCGTTGGTTTCAGCTTGAGGGATCCGGCCATGTAAGTCATTCCAGGCTCCTGTGGTCTCAATCGCATCGCTGACAGGACCTCGTGGTAGCCTCGTGAGCGCAAGGGCTCCCTCTTCTTCACCGAGATCCGAGCTGGCCTCGCCACTTTCTTCGCCATGGCATACATCATTGCTGTAAACTCTTCGATTGTTTCCGAATCTGGCGGCACCTGTGTCTGCCCTGCTTATAAGGATGGTGCCTGTGTTCCAGATGATGCCTACCAGCTTTGTGTTGCCGATGTCAAGCGCGATGCTGTCACTGCAACTGCTGCCATCTCTGCCTTGGCTACGTTCTTCATGGGTCTCTTCGCCAATCTTCCAGTCGGTCTCGCTCCTGGAATGGGTTTGAATGCGTACTTCACTTACACGGTCGTTGGCCCCAGTGGTTCTGGTCCCGTGCCGTATGAGCTTGCTCTTACAGCCATTTTCATTGAGGGCTTCATCTTTTTCGGCCTTGCCATTTTTGGTATGCGCCAATGGCTGGCTCGTGCCATTCCCCGTTGTATCAAGCTTGCCACCAGTGTTGGTATTGGCCTCTTCTTGACACTCATTGGTCTTACTTACAGTGAGGGTATTGGCCTTATCGTTGGCAATGTTTCCACTCCTTTGGAGCTGGCAGGTTGCGAATCCAGCTTTCGAGATCCTGCTACAGGACTGTGCCCTTCTTCCCAAAAGATGAGGAACCCGGCTATGTGGATTGGTATTTTCTGCGGTGGTATTTTTACCGTGCTGCTCATGATGTACCGAGTCAAGGGCGCTGTAATTGCTGGAATCTTGCTCGTTAGCATCATCTCTTGGCCACGAGGCACTGATGTTACATACTTCCCTAACGACACACTTGGCGATGATCGATTCAACTTCTTCAAGAAGGTGGTCGACTTTCACCAGATCAAACGGACGCTCAACGTTCTCCAATTCGACATCTCAGGCCACAGTGGTCAGTTCGGTTTGGCACTCATTACCTTTTTGTATGTTGACATCCTCGACTGCACTGGTACACTGTATGGTATGGCACGTTTCGCCGACCTTGTCGACCCTGTCACCCAGGATTTCGAGGGCTCTTCCATTGCCTATATGGTGGATGCTCTCAGCATTTCCATTGGTGCTGTTCTCGGTGTCCCTCCTGTTACTGCTTTCGTTGAGTCTGGTGCCGGTATCTCCGAGGGTGGTAAGACTGGTCTGACTGCTATGGTTGCTGGAATCTGTTTCTTTATCTCCATCTTCTTCGCGCCCATCTTTGCATCTATCCCTCCCTGGGCCACGGGCTGCGTTCTGATTCTCGTCGGCTCTATGATGGTTGGTGCTGTGACTGAGATCAACTGGAGATATATGGGTGATGCTGTACCAGCTTTCCTTACCATCGCCATCATGCCGTTTGCCTACTCCATTGCCGATGGTCTGATTGCTGGTATCTGCACGTACATGGTTATCAACACCATCGTCTTGCTCATCAAGCTTGCTTCTGGGGGTCGCATTGTGCCTCCCAACTACGAGGAAAGAGACGGCTGGACCTGGCGCATCCCTGGTGGTTTCCTGCCTCCCTGGATGAACAGACTCGCTCATGGTAAGAAGGACTTTTGGCGAGAAGACAATCCTCCTCATAACACTACCAACAACACGACTGTTGATGATACAACCGCACCCAAGGAGAATGGTTCTGACCATGGTGGATCTGAGGGAGGTAAGGTGGCCGAAACTACCATTCCTCGAGAAAAAGAGACTTGAAACGTTTGTAAAATCTGGAGGACTATTTGAAGAGTCAGTGTGTGTTGAACAGAGAGAGTAGGATCTAAAGATACCCCCCAAAAAAATATCGTCGTTGTGTTTTCATAGTTGTAGTAAATGATTAATGCGAGTGGTCTGAAAGTCAAATTATGATATAATGCTGAACTACACAATGAAACGGACAATTCATGTTAGATTAAGCCAGGTTATGTGAGGACTAAAGGAGTTTTTCTTACCATCTTGCAACTTCCGCTATGGCGGATAAATGCTTTTGTCGAAGAGAAAACTAGCATAGCCATGACACAAATACGGATATAAGACAGTGCTGAGATAACGTCCTGGGAACAACATTGACAGCATGCATTCTTGAATCCCTGACTAGATCAACGAGTCTACTGCGCTCCTGGTGTCTCATCTGAGACCGTATTCTACAGTTGGGTTCTCTTTGTCAACTCGAGCGAGCCCGTCTGTTGCCAGCTTTCGTTCCGTGCAGTCATAAACGATCGCTCTAATGTCCGCCTGCGAACTCGCTATCAAGTCATCAGAGCAATATGTTTCAATTCTCTGTATCGTGGTCAGTGACAAATATGGTTGGTTGCCAAAAGGGGTGTCAACGTACGCCTGCACTTGGTGGCCAACCTTCATAGAAGGGTATTCGGTCTCGCGTCCCTCATCTCTTCCCAATTCTTTCTGGCGCTCTCTGACTTCCTTGGCTCTCGCCACGAGGTTGGGCACAGGCGTGAGATCAATGTCACTCCCCAGGTGCCAGAACAAGGTACTGGATATCCTCACAAGAGGCCTGTCAGGGACCTCGCGCTTCCTTTTTTCTATTGTCTCGATCGTTTTCTCATTAACAATAACCTCATGGAAACCGGCCTTGATGAGTCCGCCTGTGATATGCTCAAGCTGTTTACCCGCTTGGACTAAGAGGTAGTTTCCGGGTGGAATCTTTACGGCAATACGGCTTCCGGTGTTGCGAGCCCAGATGTGAAGGCCTGGGTAGCGGGAGCGCCCGTGGATAGTGAGAAAGTTGAGGTCAGTATGGAAGCCGGCCAGGATAGTATCCTTCTGGCCATATTTGTTCAAGTCTGAGGCTGTTGGAGCAAGAAGGTGAGGGCTGCGTAGCTTGTAAGCCTAAAAGAATGAGATGATAGAGCGCGAAAGGAACCAACCCATATTTTCCGGCGTCACTGAAGAATTGAGCCGGCAAATCAAGGCCAACAGCGGCCATTTCCGCGAGCTTAGAGACACTTGACACATATTGCGATCAGTAACAGGCTAATACATGAGTAACCGGCTTTTACACTTACGCGCTTTTCATGGATGTACCCCATTGGTTCATGGCTGGCTCCCAACGGTCCCTGATGTGAGGGGCTTCGGGCACGACATTTGCGGCGTTCAAACCAGGGAACTCAGTCTCAAAAGGCGGCTGCTCGCCCATCCTCCAGAAGAATCTGCATTTTGGGTCGGGGGAATGCGCTGTAATATCCAGCGGCCTTTGCGATGGGTCAAGTCTCTGTATGACATCTAGGCATGGCTCATCAACCGCACACTTGGGCTTTTCGGTATTTTCTAGAGTGACACCAATTTGGTAGCTCAGCTCAGGCTTTTCATCTTTCTTGAGGACTTCTGTGGGTTGTGCGAAGTAGTCCTCAAGGATATCAAGAAAAGTTGAGTTGTCTTCCTCAGAGACACGGCTATCGTGAAGTACAAGAGCGCCGTAGGTAATGAGGGCGCTGGCTGCTTTGCGGCATTCTTCTTGCACGGCCTCCGAGTCGATAGGGTTGTTGAGATAGACATCGAGGTCTATCACGGGCAGATTCATAGACGGTTCTGCTAAAACTGAGTCCATCTTGTTGGGTCGTAAGCTGACAGGTGCGGTGAGCAAGTTAGTTATCAGAACCACTGTCCGAATGCTTCGTGTTGAATCACAGATAGATAGTATATATATATATATATATATGAGAAAGGAAGAAATCGAGAAGGTAGTGACTGAGCAAAAAAAGAGAAGAAGAAAAAACAACTCGCCTCACAGATCCTCTTTAGGAAGTTGTTACGGATTGAATATGTCTTTGTGGTCGAAACGTGAATTACTCGTGCTTTGATTGGTTACCATCGTCTTGCCGTTAGGCGGAGTTGGCCGGTCCCCGACAACAACTCATCGTGAGGTCCGGAGTTGGACGGACTTGGACGGACTTGGAACTCATCCAAAGTGGATTCAAAGTCTTGGTCTCTAGCTATCTCGGCCCATATTGAGTACAGATAGTATCGTTGATTCTCGCGTGTCACATTCGTCAGTCGGAAATACACAGGTAACCCTCGCCTGTTAGGAAGGGGTACAAAGTATCTGTATCTGATAAACCGTACTCTCTCTCAACCTCGTGAGATGAACCCTGGCTAGCGAGGTACGTAGAGATGCCGACCAAGTCAGCACGTTCCTTACCTAGGTATCATGCTGGGAACACTTAAATAGTGAAAGAGGAGGTACTCTCAGGCTTCATACAAAGCAATAATGTTTAAGAAATTTATTTCCATATCTCAAGAGAACTCGCCAGGCCGTTGATGAAGTGCCCTCCCCCGCTGGTAAAATATACTCCTTTTCTTTCTTAAACTCCCTTCCGTGCCTGATGAAATCCTGCGGTTGTTATTGTTCACGAGCGCTCCGCCTCCAATTCTCGTTCAGCCTGTTGATAGTACTTGGCTGTGTCGACACCATGCTGGTTGTGGTTGACAAAGTTGAACCAGGGGATCGTGCTCAGAAACAGAGCAGAGTATCTGCTCTGTCGAGCAGCAACACCCTGAAGATGAGGGCTCAGCCGGCTAACACCATACAGAGGCTCTCCCTTCTTAACCTTGTCAACCATCTCCCGCATATCCATCTCAATCTCGCGGGAATTCTCAGTAGCACCGTAGAATCGGACTGTTCAATAACGTTAGTTTGGCGTATTCCAGCTTGTACTCGAATGATAAGGACGTACGGGCCGATCGTTGGTAGAAGTAGAGAAAGCCACCCAAAACACCGACACCTCCAGCTAGTCGCATGGCCTTGGCAAGACCACCCTTTCCTACATGTGATGGAGAAAACTTCTCGAGGGCGTAGAGGGCTGCAGGAGCGAAAGCAGCAGCAGCGGTACCGGCGAGGTAATCCGAGGTTCGTGCATATCCAACGACTCGTTTAAAATGACTGTCGAGGGTCAGCAATTCCCACGAACCAACAATCGTCATTTATCCAGTCGCATCGAAGAGAGTAAGACCGTTCAGCGCCAGTCGCCGCCTTCAGGGATCGGGAGAGCTTAGATTACGTACGGATCGTTGTCGATGAGCTATAACATCATTATTTAGTGACAGTGCTTGTAGGGTCAATTGCATAGTCACTTACGGGATAATCGGTCTGGACGACCTTGCTGGTCCCGACAAAGGACGGGGTCGTCTGCTTAGTCGCGGTCTCAGCCATTGTGCGATGCGTCGTCCGTGACAATTCCTTGAATACTATCACCAAGCCTTTCGAGGTCCTCGGGTTTCGGTACACTCAGAAGCTGGAGTCCAGGTCTTGATGCCTCAGGTTACAATCACGTGCGGTAAGCCCATCGAGGCTGCTGCTAATTGGTCACATGATATTTGGTGGGGTAGCAGGTCAATTAAGCTCACGACGCGTCTCAAGCCAAACGAGACGCGTCTAACTGTCAATTGAGTCTAAGTTTACTTGCGTATTACGTTCCCAAGTACTTCAATTTACAAATTTATCACAGCAAGCGATCTTCACAATGCCAGCACTAGACTCTGACCCCGTCAATGGGCTAGATAATTATGACGTCGCAGACCTATCAGACGATCCTTTTGCATCTCCTCCACCAGAAGCAGCCAACAAGAAACGCAAAGAGCCAGATTCCGGCCTTGGAATTGATGAAGAGGTTGATGTCAAGAAGCGCCCTCGAGCTCCGAATGTCAAGCTCGACGAAGAGAGGTTCGTCGAGGGAATTTCACAACATCCCACGTATATCTGATATATTGGCAGGCTCCTTGGTCCTAAAGGCATACCCAAGCTAAAACAAAGGGCACGAGATTTAAAAATCAAGGGCAAAGGCCATGAGGTATGCGCTCATCTGGCAATCTGCCCACTTCAAGCATGCTGACAACTTGCAGTTTTCAGATGCTTCCCGACTCCTCTCCTTCTATCAACTCTGGCTTGACGACCTCTTCCCAAAAGCGAAATTTCTCGATGCTCTGAACATGGTCGAAAAAGCAGGTCACAAAAAGCAAGTCATGGTCGCACGAAACGAGTATATCAATGAAGGCAAACCAAAGAACACTACGGCCGACAGTGAAGGAGATGACCCCTTTGGTGGTGGCGACAGTGTATCAAGGCTTATGGATCAAACGACTACACGGTCACTGGAAGGTGAAAGGCCAAAAACTCCAGAGCAAGGCCGAGATGTGCCAGACGATGATGATCTCTATGGCGCCACACCACGACCATCTCGGCCAATTGTACCTATTCGCAACGATGTCCCTGAGGACGACGATCTTGAGGCTCTAATCGCAGAGGCAGAGGGTCAACATGAATCCCATAAAGAGAGACTTGCACAAGCAGAACCGGATGAGGATGATCTTGACGCATCAATGGCCGAGGCAGAAGGGCAGGATCGAACGAAAGTCTCAGAACCAGATCGTCTAGCTACGGACGACGAGGACCTGGATGCCCTTATGGCAGAGGCTGAGACTCAAGATCAGACAGCAAAACTAGATCGACACGAAATGAGAAAGGAGGGTAAGAGCGCGAACGGCTACGAAGATGAGGAAGCAGCGATGCAAGAGATGGAAGGGCTATGGTAATATGTTTTAGCACATGGCGTCTGGCGTTGGGATAAATTGGAGATACAGGTAGTTGATGCTGTTCTTGTGAGATTTGACTCTGAATATCATGGGTTTGCCTAACCATTTGTTGTTTAGAATTTTGGTATTTGTGACGTTAGTCCATATGAACTTTTCACACGGCCCAGACGGGTAGGAAGGTATATGGAAGCGTAGAGCATCGATGTAGTAGAACAGTCTTCATGAAACCGTAGCTAAGGCGTAATACGCTTTGTTGCAACTAGATATGGTTCAGATGTTCGTCGAGGCAAGTGACCAGAGCATTGTAGCTGAAAGCAAGCATAGTATTCGAACAAGGCCAACGTGACATTTGCAACCGCTGCTTTCAACATTAAAATCAAGGGCGGATCACGCATAGGGAAAACCGATTGAGACGATCATGCGCTTCTTTGAGCGGTTCATTGTATTTGTTACAAAAGACCTATCCTATAGGTAGGTAGTTTACCGGTCCCTCCTGGGACATTGTTCCTTTACGCCTTGCACCACCATTGGTTTTTCAAACAAATCAGAACGTAAACACATTACGACAGTCCATCTTATAGAGTAATCCTCAAGATTCTGTCCAATTATCCTCTGTTTCCGAAATAAGCGGCAAAACAGATTGTTTGGTTGTTTGGCGTCTGTGTGACGAGGAGCGAGTCTTGGGGTTGAGAACTCCGCGATTACCACGTTGACTTCGTCGTTCCTCTGATTGGATTGTCCAGAGGATCGTTATCAGTAGTTCACGCGAAGGCAAATCCATACAAGCCAGATATCTTGTCAACTCGTCTTGGCCGCGCGATCCGTCAGTTCCGCGCCTCAAGATCTCGATTCTGTCCTCACATCTCTCAGACACCAACCGCAATGCCACCAACGTCGCATCCATGAGAGGACGCGCCAGGATGGGGCTGCTGGTTAGGATTTTCCGAAGAGATTTGATTCTCAGGTTCGTAGATCTTGGGCTCGAGGCCCTGGATCGCAGCGGCGAAGTCGCTCGTTGCCATAGATTCTGACGAGATGGTGTTGTCTTCGTTGAGCCAAAGGCTGAGGTCGAAGTCGTCGTGGAGGCCGAACGCGGGAGCGTCACCAGCCATATTATCGTCGCCAACAATTGAGGAGTCGGATGAAGAGAGATACCCGTTTTCAAGGACATAGCGATCTGTGTCAAGGGGCGTTGGCAGAAGGTCAGAGTTGCCAAGGCTGAAAGCAGCATCGCCTGGAAGGGCGGGAGCGAGACCGAGGTTGGCGGCATCGAGGTTGGCGGCGCTGGGAACGACTTGGGCATCTCCGCCGACTTGTGACACTGCAGGTCAGACAACATCACGGCAGGACGTTGTGTCAGGTCGGGAGAGGTGCTTTCAGTAGGTTCCAGCTTGACCTCATTCGATGGCTCATGTTCGGCGATCTCTTCAGCCGATTCGGCTACTGGTGATAGAACTGGGGAAAGTGCTGTTGGGTCGACAGTTGTGCTAGAGGAGACTAGGCCATCAATAGGCTCGCTAAAGAGCTCCCGCGATAGTGAAGGGTTGACTCGGAAAGAGTCCAAAACAGATGGAGGATATGAGACGCCACCAGAGCGACGAATCTGCTCCAGTTCCATCATGAGTTTGGCATTGGCTTGCTGAGCAGCCATAACAGCTTGCTCGAGTTCCTGGTTTCTCTTTTCGAGAGCCTCTACCTCTAGCCTCTTGCGTTCGCGCGAAGACTGTGCAGCGCGGCGATTTCGAAGAACTCGCTCAACGCGACGTTGCTCCTTCTCGTCCTCAGTCTTGGCTCGCTTTCTGGATAGAGTGTCAGTGGACGCGTAAGGAAAATGCGTTGGAATGTCTTCGTACCTAGGAGGTAGGTTTGTCTTGGGCTCAGGTAGGACCTGGCCCCATGACTTTCGCTTCTTGGCCGTCTTCTTCTCAGGGCCGGGTGATGGTGATGGGGTTGATACGCCCTCTTCTTGCTTGATCCTGGGTAGTGATGAGGGGATCTGGTCCTCGGTGAAAGACTTGGGAGTCATCATCTCCATTGGGTTCATGGTTGAAGTGGCACTAGGAGTGGTGACGTCGAACAGTGATGTGAGACTGTCTCCTGGAATTGACATTAGAGACTCGGCCGGCGAGTGCTGGAACTTGTCGGTTGGTAATGTTTGTTGATACTCCATGTTTGGCGTTCTGTGTTTGGTATAATTAAGTTGTTGTGTTGTGTTGTATATGGTATGATATGATAGAGGCAGTAATGGGTTATGCTCTCGATATCAGATAGATATTATGGGGATAGCCGTTGGTTATTAGAGTTGCATAAGAGGCAGGCAGCGATGTTCCACCACCAGAATTACAAGACTCGATCAAGTAAGTGTGAGTCAGGGACTAGTCTTGATTGTCGTTGCCTTGCTAGACGTGATGAGTCAGACAGGGTGATGACGAATAGGGCACACTCCAAGAGGATGAAAAGGACAGATTGTTCACTTGACAAAGCGCTCTCTTCGTGACCTTTCGCTGGGTGCTTGTCGGTTGGCTTGTGATTTCAGGACAGGTTGGATGGAGCGGACAGGCCCTCTTTATCTCTTGAGGACACGTTGAGAGTTTGGAGGGGCACAGCTCGGTAGATCTGAGGGCCTGAGGCACCAGCCCCTGAAATACCACCCCCTGAACGTGTTTTGAGGACCCAAAGGGGGAAGGTGTCTCGGAAAGAACCCTTTGGGAGCCGGGATGCACTTGCGTCTTGCGCCCCCCTGAAGCCTGATCCAGGATGGGCCGGGCTGGGTAGGTACTGGGTAGGCTGGCTTGCAAGACACGGAACCTAAGTCGAAGGAAGAGAGGGAGAGGCTAGAGCCACCGAGCGACACGCAGTCGTACCCCACCGGGGAAGAGGGAGGAACCACCTAGACTAGCTACTAGGAAGAGCTGAAGGGCAGACAGCCCAGACTTAGAGGGAGAATGGAAACACTCAACGCAGCTGCAGGGGGGGCTTAGAGATTTCTCCACAGGGCTGTCCTCACAGTGCTATTGGCGGAATATGAGCCCATCGGCCGTTCGAGTTTCCAAAAAAAGGGGGGTTGATCAATCGGAGGATGTGAGACTGAACTTGAGGCGCCCGCCATTGATCGACCTATGCTACGGTCTTGGAGACTACCTAAAGGCTAGAGACGCCGTTCTTTGGCAATAACGGACCTAGTTGCTCCTTACGCCTCTATTCGATCATGGTGCGACCGATTCCCTTAGTAGTCTATCTAGGTACCTTTGCCTGTCTACTTACTGCTTAGAATCGAATCGTTCATTGTTCAAATTCATTCAGGAGAATAAGAAGGCGATAAGCCTTGATGCTGAGGTTCGTAAAGTGGTAAGCAGGCTCCCGTATTTTCTCAATACGCATCAGCCATTTACGTCGAGGTTGCACATAGTCTGTACTGTATCCATTTCAATGTCGTGGTTCCTTCCCCTCGTTTGCGTTTGCGTTTGCGTTTGCGTTTGCTTTTGCTTTTGCTTTTGCTTTTGCTACGTTACGCATATTACCACGCCACGCCACACCACCAACAAGCCGCATTGATATGGATCAACACAACATTCAAGAAGCTTTCTTTGTTTTCGGTGTTTTCTTTTTTGTGTGATTCAACAGTTGTTTCAACCCCTCTTTGCAAAAGGCAAAATCGTCATCCCTTATGGTGTCCAGTATGGAGTACCTATGTGGAGGGTTTTGGCTGCACAATGATGAGATCACCTCATCTTCCAAGAATGGAAATCAAGGAAGATACGGTACGATACGATACAGTAGATGAGTGAAAGAGACTGGCGAATCGTTAACGTCCCAGTCTTTTCTGCATCAGGTTCGTACTGTATCTGTACCTTTTAATAGAGTGGATGTACGGTGCAAACACAGTCAGCCTATTTGGTATCTATTACTAGAATAGCCTACAGCCTACACCTCGTAAGCTCTCTCCACCAAGTCAAGTCCGAGCTGCATGTCCACCGATCCACCAATCCACCCAAGCCACGCCAACTCGACAAAGGGAGAAACAACACAGAGTCAAAGCAGGGAAAGACCATGACGATAGTGATGTGATGGTCAAGGGAGACAACATTTCAGTACAAAACCACAAGCTTTTATCCATCCCACCCATCATCTATTGATTGGTATGTAATGTGACGGGAAGAGGCAATTAACTTGTAAAGCTTGAACAACTGCCTAAATAGGTAATTAACTTAATTAACAGGTAGGTATTACCCCTCCGGATTCCCCTCCAATCCGATTCAATTCAATTCAATGTTGGGGGACGACAACTACAGTGAGCATTGCGCATTACATATCCATTATCTATCACCGCTTATTCAACTGCGTATGCAGACATCGTAAGACATGCCTCTTTTTACTCCCGATCAGCGGAATGCAGGACAGTACTGTCTGTCTGTCAATGGTCTGTACCTGGGCTGACGCTGACCGACATCACCTCAGCTCAACTCAACTCAATAATCAGTGCTTCATGTGCTGTACAGTAAGTACTGTAGGTAGTAGGCATCCAATGTATCCGTATACGCGGTGGACCTCATATGCGTGTTCCGTTCCAATAAAAGAATACCGCCGGCCCTACCGGAGACCTATCCGTCAACACCAAAGGAAGCCCACCATTGCTACCACCTCCTCGTTTTGTTCCGCGGGCTGGCTGAGAATGTCTGGAATTTTCGACGTCTACATCTCCATAAGTATCCACCAGAAACCCCATCATTGCCATCATCGAACTGCACTCTGTAGTCTGTACTGTATGCTGGCAAGGTTAAATGTGGGAAGTCAGTAGTCAGTTGCTTTCGTCCCTCCCTCCCCACAACCACTACAATACTGTGATTACTGTAATGCAATGTCCAAGCAGTCGGGTAACGTAGTGCGCACCTTGATGAGATCTGGTAAAGGTTGATCGAGAACCACCATTCAATAAACGTCACCAACTAACCAAGTGCCTAAAATACCTACCTACTAAGCTTCGTTTAGTGGTTGGAACTACCAAAGGCGTCTCGACCTCTACAGAGTTCAGCTTTTACTCAACAAGCCTCAGTACCCACTGCTAACTCTATCTGTCTTTCCCTGCAATGACCGCCAATTCATCAGACATATGCATCCATCGGCTTGCATCCCCGAAGCTTGGAATGTGAAGCTAATGGCTTTAACCTATTGTACAGTATTATTGTAGGTATGTATCCGCATGTATGTATGTAGGCAGCTGGGATTTGAGAACGGGGCCCCTCATCTTGGCGAAACTGAACAAGCTCAAGTACAGTACGTACTCTACCTGAGAAAGTTAAAGAGGATCTCATCAAGCGAGCGGCAATCTAGGCGAATCTACCAGCCGTCAGTAACACATGAGAAGGACAGGGGATTCCTGAGACACGGAAGGGAGAGACATGCCAACGGCCACAGGGGAGGGTGACAGGTGAGAACCGAGAGTCCTACAAGGAGAAACACAATATGCATCACGTTTGGTTTGTTATCAAGTTGTTATTGCTTTACAGTGCTGTACGTATGTACATATATAATTATCTATTCATACAAAGATAGATAAATATCACCATTCATCATATGTTTCTTGTTTCTCATCCGTCTCAGAAGTGATTATCATGTTTCAACTCTTTTTTTTTTTTTAGTTCAGTGATCTTCCCATTCCTGGTCTCTACCCCGTTCTGCTTTGTTGCTGTTGCAGTTATACGTACAGCTGAAAAGAAGAGGCTGGTTTGGTCGACCCTGATCTTCACTAACCAGGACCCCTTTCTCAATCCCTTCTATCGCCTAGGAATGAAGGGACCCTGACGGTCACCTCGAACTACCCAGCTAGGTCCCTCGCTTCACCCTTTCGTTACAATAGTGGGAGCAATAATTATTCCGTCGGAGTGATAGTTCCATATTGCTACAATAGTCCAACGATAGAGTTGCGCACCGTCAAGTTCCGGACACCAGAGAATTTTCCAATTCCAAACGCACATGTCGGAGTCGGACTGTATTCGTACCCCTGGTCGGCAATTTCAATCTTCATTTGAGCTTTTGAGCCAATTAATTTCAGACCCCATTGCCGGATATTAGTTCATCTCTACTGTATGTACAAACGCCATTCATATTGTGTCAGGTTTGCCGCTCCATCCCTGTGAAGAAGTCGATGGAAGCACCGTGAATCCGCTCAATCTCAACATCAGACATCAATTGTCAGTGCCCATATGAGTGAGATTCCCATCTAGAACCTCCTCGAGTCAAGTCTGAGCAGCTAAAACTTAGCAGCCGTTCCACTGACCGCTCCCTAGCCTCTGCTGTTGCCCAGCCCCTCTAGCACTTGAGCCTTCAATCGCTGCGGTACCATCCGTTTCCTTCTGGCCAGACACAGCTGGAGCCAGGTGTTGGACAAAGCAGAATGTCGATCACCTAAATCTGACTTGGACCTGCAGGCAATACAGTAAACCAGGAGCGGTATGCCCAATGGTAGGATATTAGTGATTGGATCCATGATTGGAAATTGAACAGTGTTCGTTGGCGTCCCCTGATATCGTGTGGCAATACCGACAACTCGATCTTGTTCTAGTCATCCCCAGTCTGCCTCATTAACGGTGACTGTTGATTCTGTGCGGTAAAATCGCATCAAAATGTTCAAACTGAATGCGAGGTCTCATCTCTTAGTGACGGTACCAAGTATCCATATGTTATAACATATCTACGCAGTGAATGAGGCTTGCTCTGTTACTGCACTGAATGAGTTGACCTTCGGAATTTCTGCATCCTACCCTAAACCAAGTGATCCTAATCCAATAGTGGCTGTGCATCTGATAAGCCACAGCTGACAAAGTCCGCCAAAATAATCCGCTTCCGTTGGTTGCGTCATTCGTCCACTTCTCCAACCTTTCTGCGTGGCGCCCCGCATCCAGTATCGACAGTTTGATTCTAGGCCCTCGGCGGTTCCATGCCCATCTACCTAATCACTCTCACATGACATTTACTGCCTCCTCCTCTCATTTCGTAACTCCAGAATCAACGCTCGACAAAAATTTGCCATCAAATCTTCTCTTTTGCGCCAATCCAACATCCTCCCGCCCATAATGTCGAATCGTCAGATGGCTCGCGATATGCAAGTCGAGTTTCAGGCTCGATTCCAAGCCAAACAGGCTCGTCGCGAGGCCCAAAAGGCCGCCAAGCAGGACCCCATTCTCAAAAAGCAGATCCAGGATCTCCTTAAGAAGGGTGAGACGCAAAAGGCGTATCAGAAGGCCAAGATGCTACTTTCCAAGCAGGCGCTTGCTCAGCAGATGGACCAGATGGCCGATATGGCTGAGCTGTCTGCTGCACAGATTCAGGCCAACAACTCAATGAACCGCATGACTCAGATGATGGCCCAGTCGTCGCGAACTATGAATGTGGCCCAGAAGAATACCAACCCCGAAAAGGTCAGCCTTCCATTATATCTGTCACGCTTGGCCACAACTAATCTACCTACAGACTCTTGTTACCCTCGAGCAGTTCAAACAACAAAACGAAGAATACGCCATGTCCAACGGCATCTATCAAGATGCCATCACCCAATCTACCTCGACTCAAGTTGGCGAAGACGCTGTCCACGAGCTACTCGGAAAGCTGGCCGATGATGCTGGCCTCGAGCTCAGCAAGGAACTCAACCAAGCGACGCCTTCAAATGCCGAGCCTGCGCAGACCAACGAGCCCAGCGCCGAAGAGGAGGATAAGCTTCAGCAGAGGCTGCGGGCCCTCCGTGCATAGTCATGGCACTTCAAGAGCTACTAGTCCAAGGGAAACCCCAAAGTTTCCTCTATGGCAGGACGATAGCATTCGTGCAGGTCGGTCGATTTTTGAGCAAGTTGCTTTTTGGTTACGGTTAGGCGTTGGGGGATTTTTACTGGAAGGCGACACAAATTCATCTTTATTTTGAGAACCATGCGAATCGTTTCTATAGTTACGAACACCATACACCGAACGGAGTCACTGCCTCCCAATATTCCTTTTCATCTGCCTCTGGTGTGCATAGCGGACACACTTCCGCATTCAACAGTTCTCATACGTCCATTGTAATCGTGGACTCTGCTTCCCATCTGAGTCTAAATGCACAGAAGAACTACTCTATTCAATGCTAAGCTTACATGTAAAGACTTGCCACTGCTGTGATATCCCTCTTGATCATCTCTTGAGCCTGCTGCATCTTTTGGTACAATTCTGGATCACCCACAATCCTGGCCGCATTCTTCACTTCACGGCAGGTCTCATCTAGTCGTGTGATCGTTCGCACAATAGTACCCTCCAGAACATCGGTCAAGCCTGTGATGTTCTTAAAGCTCATACCCCGAGCCCACTCATAAACGACCTCCATGAGACCGAACCGTGGCCGAGATACGAAGTCGTTTGAATCATCAGCAGACTGAATCACTTGCAAACGAGTTTGTACGTCGTTGACCTTTTCAGAAATGGTAACAATAGTCTCTTTTCCGCGCTCAAGGTTGCCAGTCAAAGACGGTTCCATGTCTGTCTTCTCTTGGAACACAAAAGCAGATAGGAGGGCGGCAATCTCAGCTGGCTCATAATCGGCGAGGACGTTGTCGAGAATAAGCTCAGTTAGAACCAATTCATCACCGGAGTGGATTTCACATGCGACCTTGCCCTTGAGCTGAATGCGAGTGGCGTCGTCAATGAACCCAAGCTCCTTGAGAACTTGAACTCGCTGTTCATAATCGGGTAGAAGTTGGAGATTCTGGTCCGATAAAGACTGTTTTAGCTGAGAGATGTGCTCCTTGATGAGCCACTCATCATGACACATAGCGAACTACGTGGTGGGTTAGGATCAATAGGTGCTTCCAAAAAAGAATGGGTAAACTTACGTGCTTCAAGAACTCCGAGCATTGTTCAGCAGGGGAATTCGATATCGTCTTAACTAACTCAATCCTTTTCTCCACGATCTCCTGTAGCTGCAGTTGCTTGATCCGGGACAAGTCTAACTCTTCCAATCTATCATCCCACGAGCCACATAATTCTTGGAGACGATCCTTCGCCTGGTGGTAGCCATCTCCGCCCTGAAAAATCTCAGGTACGATGCCCTTGGTCACCCATCTTGTGAGGCATTCCACGTCGCTCAGTGGAACATGGAGGGTCTTGGTTTGTACACGCTTTTTGCTCTTCGGAAGCTCATGGAAGTACTTGCAGAATGTGGGAACGAACGGGAGCTGATCGGTGGCATCACGTCGATCTCGAAGGGATTTGATGGCGCATACATGCAGTGTCGGATCTTCTGATGTACCCTTGTTGCTAATCCCGTCAGCCAGAAGAATACCGATGGAGCGAATGCCATCCCAGTTGAATACGACAAGACGGTGCTGAGAGAACATCCTGCGCCCTATGGGGATAGCCAAGAGGCCCTTGTAAAGGTCAAATGTGAGTTTCTTGAAGTCTTGGGAGGCTTGGTGACATTGATCCATTGAAACATCGCAGATCTCACAGGAGTCTCGTTTGACCTTGGCTAGATCTGCTTGTGCTAGCTTCACATCTTTTTCGTGCTCGGGAAGTAGCTGCTGAGTGGCGTGCTCAGAGAAACTGCGCTTGATCATCTCTTCAATCTTCAGCGCCTCTACCCGGAGGAGGTTCAGGATCATATTATATGTCAATCGGAACTGCGACCGTAGCTTTGAAGGTTCTCCCAAGATCATATTACGTAGATCTGCAACGGGAGGCGCGTCATCCAGGCCTCCTGGTGGTACAATGATGACGGACCCGACAGTATCCAAACCACGACGACCAGCTCGACCGGCCATCTGAGTGTATTCTCCAGGCAGTAGGTTTCGAAATGAGTGGCCATCATGCTTGCGATATCCTGAAAAGACTACTGTGCGTGTAGGAAGGTTGAGGCCCATGGCGAACGTTTCTGTGGCAAACAACACTTTGACCAATGTCTGAGCAAACAGAATCTCGACCAGTTCCTTGACAATGGGCAACAGTCCACCATGATGAACAGCAATACCTCGGCTCAATAGTTCCCTCAGTCTGATTATCTGTGGAAGCTGCCTGTCGTCCGGCTTCAATCTCGCAACTGACTTTTCGATGATCATGTGAATGTGGCTTTTCTCAGACGCTGTACAGAAGTCCTGGTTGCTAAGAGCATCCGCGTTCTCTTCGCATCGCTTCTTTGAGAACACAAAAATACAGGCTGGAAGCAGGGTCTGCTTCTTGAGGTATTGTACGAGATGGACCCAAAGATTTTTATCCTGCGCAACAGATGAGAAGCCACCGGCACGACCACCACGGCCCATATGACCAGGTGCATGGCTTGCACGAGGCGGTCCTCCGCGGCCACGCTGTTGGGCCCCTCCTCTTTGCTGGCCCCCTCCTCTTCCGCCTCGCTGAGGGCCTCCTCGTTGTGTACCGCCGCGTTGGTTGCCCCGAGGATTGCCTCCACGCGTGGCAACGGTAGTTTCTGCTGGTTTTTGTTTGTCCTTTCCCTGAATCGCAAAGTGCGCATCTTTCCAGCCCTTTTCGATGAACTTCTTCTCCGAATCCACAATCTTGTGGATGTCTTTCCCGGCCCAAAGATAATGCTCAAGGGGTACAGGTCTCTTTGGAGTAGAGATAACATAGATATCCTTCTGTTTCGTCCGACCGACCCAGGAGGCGAATTCCTTTGTGTTCGGGACTGTCGCCGATAGCAGGATGAGTGACACGTGTTCGGGCAACATTATAATGACTTCTTCCCAGACAACACCTCGCTCAAAATCGTTCACATAATGAACTTCATCGAATATAACGAACTCGACATCTCGAATAAGATCAGCCCCTCGGTAAAGCATGCTGCGAAGAATCTCCGTTGTCATGATTAGGCAACTAGCCTCAGGGTTAATCTGAACATCACCAGTGAGGATGCCCACTTCATCAAATGTCTGTCGAAAATCACGGAACTTTTGGTTGCTCAATGCCTTGATGGGGGAAGTGTAAATGGCCTTTGTCATATGCTTGGAAGCCAGTGCAATCGCGTACTCTGCCACAACCGTCTTGCCCGCCGAAGTATGCGCTGCAACAAAGACCGAGTCGCCATTTTCCAGGTGGTATACAGCTTCCTTTTGAAATGTGTCGAGCTCGAAGGGCCACTCTCTAGCCATATCAGGTACAAGATCTCTGAAATTGGACATGTCGTGGTTGATGTCGACCATATGCGCCCACTCACGACCAGCTTTGCGGGCACTCGAGGCGGCAAGGACACCATGAGGCTCCAGAGCAGGGAATTCTACTGGTAAAATGTCGTCGATATCATCACCGTCCTCACCAGAGTCGGCGGTTAGATCTGGTGTAGTGGTATCGGGGGAGATCCCATTGCCGCCCTCGGGCGTCATCTTCGCTTCTTCGGGATCTTCTTCAAGCACCTCCTTGATAGCGTTGGCATCTTCCTGGCTGACACTTGTCTTCTTTTTCGTAAAATCAATTCCTCGGCCCATTCCGGGAGCGATCTCTAACAGGCCCCCTTCGGCACCCAGCTGTATCACTCGTTCCAGTTTGTTTCCAGTATTACTTGGCTCTGCAATACCTCCGGTGTGAACTGAGTCTTCAAACGCTGCTGTCGCCTCAATACCTTCAAGACCACCAGGTGCGAATGGGAAGAAGCCTGCAGCTCCCCTCACGAAATCTGCACGATTTGCGGGCTTCCTGGAGAGACTTGTCGAGTTCTTGGCCGTGGCACTGTTTGCAGGGACTGTGACATTTTTGTAGCCTGTGACACGGCCCTCAAGTCCATGACGCTGAAATCTAGTAAGAGTTCGAGTGTGCGGCGGTGCAACTTTATACAGAGAGGTGTAGTCAGCCTCAAAGTCCCATCGCTGCTGAAGACGGTTGAGCCATTCTGGTGAGAATTCGGGCGAGGGTGAGAGGAGTAGCTCCTCTAGATGACGCTTGAGTTCCTCCGGATCCTGGGTGGAAGGTTGGCGCTGGCCCATCTCTTGAGTCCCCTTCTCAAGGAGAGAATCTATGCCAGCCATACCCTTTGGATTCCAACAACTTCAAGGCAAACAACGCCGCGATTTTCTAGCTTGTCGTTTTACTATGATGATGAAAGTGATGAAAGCTCCAAGTTAGAAATGCCCCACCATTGACGTTGGTGATTCTAACATTCATTCATGGCGGGACATTTAGGTAGGTAGCTTACAGCTCCACTCTATCTACCCTGCACTCAGCGACATGGGTACTGTAGGTGAGATTCGGTTTGGTTAGCGCCATCGCGAATTGTTTTAGACGAGTCGCTTCATTGATGAATATCTATACCTAACTACTATACCTTACCTAACGTAGGTACCTATCTCTCTATACAAAAGGTAGTAGATGAATTGGTGACCAAACCCACCAGCATTTTGTCATGACTAAAACGATATCATGTTCTGTAATCTCCAACAACCGCTAGCAGCATCACATCTGAGCTGACTTAACGACACTGGCCTTTCACAGCTGCTGAAGCACATATATGAATTGGTAGATCATTAATAAGACGGGTGCCGTGCCTTAACATACATGGCAACACGCGATAAAATTACATTTCCTTTCCTTCCGCACGTCTATCAAATAAGTGTCCATCAAATACGACAATTGGATCAGATTTTAATCTGCGTCTCAATTCCGATGATCACAACGAGCAGCGTAGGACACGCACTGCCACGCTGGGCACATGAACATGGGCGCTATCCTGATATGTGCAAGCAGTTGGACCGGATTCTCTCAGCACTAAGTTCTCTCTTTTGTCTTTTTTTCTTACAGGCGAAGGACCTTGGCAGCGTAGTCCTCAATCAGCTTCTCGGTAGGGAAGGACATCTCCTCGAGCTTCTGGGCATAGGGAGTAGGGACCTCAGCACCAGTGACTCGGGCAGCGGGAGCATCGAGGTAGTCGAAGCCGTACTCCATTGTCAGGGCAAGAATTTCGGATCCGACACCGAAAGCAGGGTAGCCAGACTCGACGGATAGAAGGCGGTGGGTCTTCTTAACGGACTGAATGATGGTCTCAACATCGAGAGGCTTGATGGATCGCAGGTTGATGACCTCGGCCTCAACACCGTACTTCTTCTTGAGGTTCTCGGCGGCAACCAGAGACTGGCCGACAGTTCGGCTCAGGGAAACGATGGTCAAGTCCTTGCCGGATCGCTCAATCTTAGCCTTACCGAAGGGAATGACGAAGTCGTCTTTCTGGGCAGCCTCGGACATGGGGAAGCTCTGACCGTACATCAACTCGTTCTCGAGAACAACGACAGGGTTGGGGTCACGGATGGCAGCCTTCAGGAGACCCTTGGCATCCTCAGCGCTCCAGGGGGAGACGACCTTGAGACCAGGAATGCTGCCGTACCAGGCAGAGTAGTCCTGGGAGTGCTGAGCGGCGACACCAGCAGCGAAACCGTTGGGACCACGGAAGGTGATGTTGCAGGGCTGGATACCACCGGACATGTAGAGGGTCTTGGCAGCAGAGTTGATAACCTGATCGATGGCCTGCATGGCGAAGTTGAAAGTCATGAACTCACACTATCAAGATCGAAACTGTCAGTATCTGATTGAAAGATAAAGAAGGGTGCTGTGACACTTACAACGGGGTGAAGACCACTAAGGGCAGCACCAACAGCGAGACCACAGAAACCAGACTCGGTGATGGGGGTGTCAATGACACGCTTGTCACCGAAGCGGTCGAGAAGACCCTTGGTTACCTTGTAGGCACCGTTATATTGGGCAACCTCCTCTCCTAGAATGAAGACCTTCTCATTCTGCTCGAGCTCCTCAGCCAGAGCCTCGTTGAGCGCATCTCGGACGGTGTATTCCTTGACGCCGGAGCTGTTGTCGGCGTAGGATCGGGTCTGGGCGGAACCAAAAACAACGGGTCGCGCAAGAGCAGCGCGGGCAATGGCAGACTGAGCAGCTGAAGGAGCAACAGGAGTGCGGATAGCTCGAGTCGAAGCAGCGAGGCGAGCTGCGGGTCGAAGAATGCGAGACATGATGTGCGTTTGTTGAATAGCCAATTGACCCAGGAGTCGGAAGGAGGACGGCAGAGAGTCGACGAAGAAAGAGAACGAAGCGTCAAAGGCAAGAAGCTGCAGAGGACAAGCTTCTCGTAATTCCCGGGTCGTCGACTTTGACGTGGGAATTAAAAATGATGATGAGCTGAAGTTGGTGTTGAGAGATGAACAAGTCGGGTTGAGAGAGGGAATTTCACCGAAGAACGCTTCTGCTGGCCAGCTATCAGTTTTTTTTTGGGGCCAGTCGGTACGTATCGTGCCGGAACTGCGAGGTACCTAAGCCCTCACCTACTTTCTGTGGCTGATTGTGTACCCGCTCTCCAAATCCCCCCGAGCGACCCTCCGTTAGCTCGGGCAGCTTTATCCCTCTTTGCTCCCCGCCTGCAGCCAACGCCTTTTAACGACCCTTGCCATTGAGTGAGTGAGTGCAGCACAGGTTGGAAGGGTAGTCAACTAGTTGCAAGCACCTATCAGAATTTAGAACACAGCTTTAATGACCCATTTAACCAGTCTGTTGGGGAAATCCAGGGGAATATTGAGGGACCATTCTGAATCCACCCAAAGATTTAAGAGGGAAAAAATAAAAAAACACGGGTGCATCGGAGAAACAAAGAAACCGCATTGTCTAATAGTAGATTGATTGATTGACTGTAGTGGTAGATTGAAATGTACCTGCTATCAACGACAAGAAAGATGAAATTGTATTGGTATGTATATTACAATTATAAGCCAATATTGTCCCTAAACTCCTCTGCCTTCCGGATCCTCTATATCGTAAGACCGGCCACTTCATATGTATGCATGTGCATCATCGACCAGCATAATTTGCTCCTTTTTGACCATCGTGAGATAATTGTTGTTTGAAAGATTTGTTGTCATAGCTTGCTTGTTTACGCAGCAGGCTTGCGGGCCACCATGAGGTACATGGGGGTGAAGAGCTTGTCTCGTCCACCAGCGACCAGGCAGTCAGCGGCAAGAGCCAAACTGTCAGCAGTCTTCTTGGTTCCAGCAGGGGCAAGCTTGAAGGTCTCGAGGAGACCAGCCAGACCGTGAGCGATGGTTCGACCCCAGGTGGTCATGCGCACGATGGTGAAGATGTCACCGACGGACTGGATGTAGCGGAGTTCACCAGCCAAAGGCCAGTACCAGGGGAGGGCATCGGGGCGGTCTGCGAGATCCTCGTGGTGGAGCATCTCAAAACCGGAGTCCTTGATAGCAGCAATGCCCTCGGAAACCTTGCACATGTTGGAAATACCATCACCTTGCTCAATACCCAGTCGAATCTCGCGGTGACGAAGGTTCTCGTTATCGTACTCGTCGGTCATGAGCCACTCGTACACACCGAAAACACCGCCGGGCTTGAGGACACGGAAGATCTCGCTGTAGATGCCCTTAAGTGTGGGAGCATGCACAGTAGCCTCGATAGCATAGACGGCATCGAAACTGTTGTCGGGGAAAGACATTTGCTGACAGTGGTGTTAGCCTGGATCCAAGACACTTCGGGTTGATTGGGTACAAACCATGAAATCACCCTTGACAAACTCGAGCTGGTTGGATAGACCCTCCTTGTAGGCGTAGTGGGTGGCTCGCTCGATCTGGTAGTTGTTGTTGTTCAGACCGGTGATGTGAGCACCTGTGAACTTGGCAATCTCGCGAGCGGGACCACCAACACCACAGCCGACATCGAGAACCTTCATGCCCTCCTTGATACCAATCTGGTGGGCAAGGTAATGCTCATGACGGGCAATGGCTTGGTAGAAAGGTTCACCTTGTGAGAATCGGCAGAAGTGGAAAGATTGGCCCCAGCCGTATTCGTAGAGATCGGTAGCAAGGTTGTAGTAGCTGCGAACATCAAGTCAGCATTCGGCCCAGCAAGAAAACCTGGAGCAGTTCGAGACATTGTCCACAACGGTAGGGAAAAACAAAGACAAGAATTGGATCACTTACTGTCGAGTCAAGGTGGCGTACTCGGCTTGACGGGCCTGACGGCTGTATCAGTTCCTGCCATGGAAAGATAGGAGGGGCATATTAAGGGGAACTTACAGCTCGCTCCTCAGGAGTCTCGTTCTCTGCGGGCTTGTTATCCCAGTGCTTGAAATACTCGTCGACAGCAGCCTGCTTGGCGGCACCGCCCTTGCGGAACATGGCAGCAATGCCACCTCGAGCCTGGGCTGAATTGCCGTGCATGGCTTTGTTGAAGTCGGCATCGCGCTGGTGATCCTCGCGCTCGAGGGCGGTGTTCGATGAGGCAACCATGTTGAATATGGTGTAAAGTGTTGAAGTGAAGTGAAGTGAAGGTGAGGAAAATCAAGGAGAAGCAAGGACAAGAGAACAACAGACGAATTGAGTGTGTAGGTATAGGAAAGTTGAAACTTTGAGGGAACGGGTTGGCTTTAATGGTAAAAGGGTATGGATGCAGACTTAACGGGTTGTCGCAACAAATTTCAGGGCCTCCCCTGAACTGCACAAGCCATCCCGTCTATGGGCATCCAATCTCAATCGTGAATTGAGTAATATCCGTGCGCTTTACCTTAAAGATACTAGATCCCCTGTCTATCACCTAGCCTGGGGGGCGACCTGGGAGAATTCGACGCAAAGTGGTACAGAGTAATCAACTCCCCACAACACCTCCAAACTTAGTCTTCATGTGATTAAGATCAGGACTTGGTTGTGTTCTCCCTTTTGTCTAAAAAAAAAAAAAAG